CAGTATATATATATATTATATATATATAATTCCCTTCTATGAGGGCACATTTTTTACTTAAAATTGCAATATGGTATCCTGAATTGAATCTTGGAACAGAAAAAAGGGATTAATGGAAAAACTGGTGAAATCTGAAATCTAGGGTTTATTCACTACAATGTACCAATATTGATTTCTCATTTTGACAAATATTCCATGGTTATGTAAAATGTTAACTTTAGAGAAAACTGAGCAAGGGGTATAAGAAATCTCTGTGCTATCTTCAACTTTTCTGTAAATTTAAAATTATTCCAAAGTAAGTTTATTTGAAAATATTAGCCTTCTGCTTTCATTTCAGCCACAGTGTTATTGTTGGTGCAGGCTACATTGCTGTGGAGATAGCAGGAATCCTTTCAGCCCTAGGTTCTAAGACATCACTGATGATACGGCATGACAAGGTAAATTCTACTCTTTCCCCTTCCCTTTCCTTGATATTAATTGTTTAAAATGTCAATGGAAATGCTTTTCTTTTTTCTCTATTTAATTTTTAATTTTTTTTTTTTTTTTTGAGTGGGAGTCTCACTTTGCTGGCTAATTTTTTGATTTATTGTAGAGACAAGGTCTTGCCAAGTTACCCAGGCTGGTCTCAAACCCTGGGTTCAGACAATCCTCTTGTTTCAGCCTCCCAAAGTGCTGGGATTACAGGCGTGAGCAACAACACCTGGCTCATTTATTTATTTTTTATTTTTGTTGAGGCAGGGTCTTGGTATGTTGCCCATGCTCGTCTTGAATTCCTGGTCTCAAGCAATCCTCCCACCTTGGCCTCCCAAAGTGCTGGGATAACCGATATAAACCCAGCTCAGCAAGAATTTTTTCTTATGTTATTGTTAAATACTAGGGTACAAAACAGGCGGAGGCAGTGTACAAGTTATTTGAGTTAGACCTGTGTCCCTCCCAGCTGCTAGTTGATAATAATAATTTTGAGTTGGTCCCAGTAGCTGGTATTTTCATCATGAAATGGTAGATGGTCATCAGATGTCCTACTAAAGAGACATGCAGGCTTAAATATATTAGTGAAATTAAACGGACTGTCGGGTTCATTTTTTAATTCTGGTAACTAGTTTCATATGATCAGGTACTCTTGGGTTGTAACTACTCATTCAAAACAATTCACTAAGTGCTTTGTACTAAAGAGTACCTTGTCGAGATCATCTACTTGCTTTTTTTTTTTTTTTTTTGAGTTGGAGTC